CAACATAGAACCCGGCTTATATCACAAAGTTGTAGTCGGGAGGGGATTGTTCTTTTGTGATACAATGGTGTATAATGGTGTTTCTCCATCTCCCGTACTCCATTCAGAATTGCATTTCAATTCTTATGTGTCATATTGAATCGTCTGTTTGTGAATATGGGTGCGGTGAAAACGGAAGTTCGCAGATTTGGAGCTTTCACTTTTAGCGGGTAGGCCCTGCACTGGAGTTGACTTTACGACCTTGTGCTTCTCAGAGGAAGTATGTTTGTTGTGGTGCAAATTTTCTCGAATGCGTTATATTTGCGTCATATTGTCCTACACGTAGTCGAAGCATTTAGATACTTCTGGGGATGCTTTGAAGTAGAAATATTTGTCTGTTTGGTTGAACTATCCATGCCTAGCAGAAGGAAACGTTTTCTTTGATAGCTTTTATCTAGAAATGTCAAATATGATGCTGCCCATTGTTGTGTTGTCCTGCTTTCATTTCCAACCGCCTCCTTTTTTGGTTATTTTAGTTCATCATACAGGCGTCAGTTCTCAGAATCTACCACACCTTATCTATTTTGAGAGAAGTACATCAAGTCGTCTTTTTGTGTCATTGTCACTTAGTTGTAATTTTACTGTTAGTCTTCACGGCACAGAATGTGTCCCTCCCTTGTTCTATATGGTTTTCAACTACTAGATTAACTATATATCCGCTGAAGAAATTTGCAGTTTTGCTACTTAATGATTGGAAGAGGTTTCATTATTTGACCCCTGCTTTTTGCAGTGCATCACTTCGAATGGCCTACCAGGACCCGTCGAAGGACAAGACAATAGCTTCTAAGCTGAGTCAACAGCGCTCAGAACAGCTTGAACGCCTCGGCATGGGCGCTGGTATTGGCAGCAGTAGGGCAAAGTAGGTTCACAACTATGAATGATAGTGATCGTTGAGTGACTGACCGACTAATCAATAAGTATTAATCAAGTGAGTGAAAGACTCCTTCATGGTTTTCAATTTTTTTCCCTATTTCATCACATAGAGTGATTGGCCACTCAGCTGTGAGTGACATGAAGACTATTGAAAGCGAAGATGCAAATGATCTGCACGAACCTGGTGGTCGCAAAGGAAATCAGAGCGGATGTGGAAACTTTGAGAACACCATTGACACATTCTGTAAGTGTTCTTGTTCTATGCTTTTTTACCTGCTTTTCCACTTACCAATGCCCTATTGGAAATGTACTGGTTCCGACGCCTTTATCGAATATTTTTGATCAGTTGATGTGTCAACTGAATTGACACTCAATGACGGCCTGTATTATGATCCATTTCTAATGTTCACTGAACTTGGCGATATAGTTGGATACAGTCTGTGATTACCTCTTCTTCCGCTCATTTAGCACGAGGGGGTAGCGGCTGGCTGTACATATCTTCCGGCCGTAATGATGACGTCTCCGACGATTGGAACATAGATCCATTCAAGGCACGAGCTGCTGCAGGAGCCTCTCCATCGTCAACCGGAACTGGTCTCCTCGATCTCCCCACCGAGTCTCCTACCTCTCGATCCGGTAACGGTGGAGACACTAAATATGCCAAATCCACATGTTCCTCAGCCTCTGCGGAACCGCCTCCAATGTCGGAGGAAATGCGACTCAAGCTACAGAACGCCAAGTCTATCTCTTCTGCAGATTTCGCTTTCGAGGACCAGGTAGGGAGGGTTTCTCTGAATATGTGTCAGCTATCGTAATCGACCTATCTACCTGTTTCCTTCTCTCAGGGTTCCAACTTCGACGGTTCTCAATTTGAGGGTCGAACCTCGTTATCCAGCGACGAATACTTTGGTCGTCCTCAGCCCAAGTACCACCCGGACTACAGCGTGGAATTGAACAGCATCAAGGAGGGTGTGCGGGAAGGTGTAACCAAGGTGGCTTCGCGTCTCTCCGCCTTTGCGAATGATTTTATGAGTCAATTACAGGTAATGCTACTGTTTTTAGTATGTCCTCATTATCTGAAACAGGACTCTAATTTTGATGTTGATTATCGCTTGCTTAGCTTACTATTTTCAGCCTTCCAAGCTCCAAGATAGCTTTTAAATTCTAAGGTTGGTTAGCCGAACCTACATAATTGGTTATGCCCTAGCGATTGACTCACTTTCACCCACTTCAAAGGCACCGTCTTATCCCCAGTAGATTATGCTTGCTCTATTTATTTGTCTAACGTGTTGTCGATGTACTAGTGACATAATAGTCACTAGGATGTTCAAACTCTTTGCAATACACCTCGGCGTGGATGGGAAATTCGGTTTTGAAAATAAATGACTAGTCAATTAGAGGGAAGAAGGGGCTATTCTCATGCGATAACAAGGGGTCTCATAGCTTGAAACTTTTCCGTGAAGTTTTTTTTGGTGGAAATAAATATACCTTCATCCTTCGTGTTTATCACCCTTTCATGACATGCGGAATAGAACAGACAGTTTGTAAATTACCTTGATAGTATCAGTGACCGAATGTGGATCATTTGATTTTACAGACACAGTTGCATAAGCATGGGATTGTTAGGCCTGTTTTGCGTTGATGAGGGATCGCAGGTTCTAATGGCAGTTATTGCCCGTCGTGCTACTTATTACATTTTAAGTAGCAATCTGGTGATTCATTTCATGCTTAACAACTTTATTACAGTCTTTCCATTCTAGGAAAAGTACGGCTAACTTCCTCAAACTTACCCAATGCGTCCTTCCCTCATCAGTAATCCATTTACAACCAACGGATGATCACTTTTTCACTGTCTCACTACACCTTTCGGTGTTAATTTGGATGTGTAACTTTTCCATTCCTTTCCTTACCGGTCTATGCGTGTCACCTGATCAGGTAGACTGGACTCCGTGTAAAGAGAAATGTAGACCACCAATCTTCTGTCTCTTTGTCTTCATTTTTTCCCTTGGTAACAGAGAGATTGTTCAGATGATGGTAGTGTGGTCTAGTGTATTGGAAAGTCTCTTTTACTAGGAATACGTGATGGGCGGGGTGGCGAGAATAGGCGTACCAACAGACGAGGGAGTGGTAGTGAATTCGGCCTTTTCGTGGGAAATAAGGTCACCGGCCAAGTCACTGCGGCCAATTGCGATTAGGGCTGCTCTCAGCTTTTCGCTCTAGATGGGGAGAGGAAAGGTAAGCTTGCTTGAGGAATTAGAAAGCTAGGTAGACTATTCTAGATAAATGTGGTCTTTTTGAAGAATGGCTCTTTAGATAATAGAAGCGCCAATGGGTACTCGTCCAGCGATCGGTTGTCGCAATTAGTATAGACGGGTCCCCTGGATCCATGCTAGGATCCTGGAGGGGGCGGGGGGACTGATCAGCGTGAGTCGGATGTTTGATTATTCTACCATGGTACCGGTACTTCAACTACTGCTCAAAAGATCGGAGGAATAGAAATACTTTTGGCAAATTGGGAGAACTTCAGGTTGTTTTGTTACTTTGGGCCCAGCCAATTGATTTACGATAAAAGTTGGTACAACTGCTTGCCAAACTGTTGGGGAATGTGTTTGTAGTGGGCGTTGAATTGCTCTGTGTATAATTTGGGTCTAGGTGGCTGTAGGATGTTCCTTAGATCCGAAGTCCAATATTAAAGCATGCAAATTTACTGTAAAGTAGTCGTCGAACAATGATACCGCTCATGCTGACAGTCAAAATTGGCACCATCTAGCTTCGTACCAATAACTTCTTCAGTAGTGTTATAATCTGACAGATTGTAGCGGTAGTGGTTTCCTTCACTCATACAAAATCTAATTTAAGTATGGCGGATTGCTCACCCTATTCACTCTGAGTTCGAGGTTTTTAATCCAACTTCTCAGCATCGTCAGAGCCCTGTTCTTTCTGGAGGAGTCAGCCCTTCCTCCAATCGCTTGAAGCTGAGTCCTAGAAAGATCCAGCGCCACACCCAGCCGTCTCCAAGTCTCACCAGGGAGCTTCTGAGCTAGCTCTTGAAGTACTTCATTCGTCACGGCATCTGCAAAGACGTAGGATTTGCATAAACAATCAAGAAGTCCTTATTAGCTGTAGTTGAAGATTGAGCTCACCTTTGGAGTCAAAGCGATAAGAGAGGATATTCTTATCCACGTCAACCTCGATCGCCTTTTTGGGTAATGTTACGAGAAGTTGGCATAGTAGAACCGTTTGAAGTTCCATTGAATTTTTTTTCTGTCCCACGGGATTACTTCTACCCTTGCCTCGCTTTACGGAGACCTTGGTCAACTGCTTGTAAGAGATTTCAACGAACCCTCGATATTTCTCACAAGCCACCTGAGCGCTTGAATCAAATTCTTCTACTTCAACCTGTTATAAAGAGAAGAAATGGACCGTAGTGCAGTTCAGCTGCCCATACTTATGGTTGATATGCTCTATTTTGTCTCCTGCAAGGAGTCAAATGACGGTACTTCAAGAACTCACAGTGTACTCATTTCGCAGCGATGTGTTAAAAGTTATCCTCATCTTCCCCTTCTCCGTGTCCAGTTGAATAGAGCTGCGTCCTGTGCTTTCTCTCTTGGGACGAATATTGCCCTTTAACGCGACATCAAATTGTTGCCTCTCGTAGACAAACAGTGGACCGATGGGTTTACCGCCCTCTGTGAACCCCCTAGCCGCCATCTGACTCAGAATCTTTTCAAGGTCCTGTGTGAGGCAGATGGCAAAGCAGACCCGGCTCGGCTGCTGTTTGTTTTGTCGTAGGCAGGCAAAGACAATGCGCTGAGAGAGGCTACGTTCCAACACCTGAGCCATTTGAATCAGACTATCGCTGTCGACAACTGTCCTCGTTTGGATTG